TGATTGAGAAAGCAGGTTGAAGCAGCCTGCGTATCTCTTTTCCAACAGACGTATCACACAGCTATATAATATTATCGCTGTATCAGATACAGTGAAGATGATGTTATTTTAATAAAGCAATATATATATAAATTATTATATTACATTGAACTGTTTATTGATTCGCACACGCGTGTGTTTACACGCGAACGGGAAGGCACGCCTGATTATCTCGCGTGCGCCGCGTATGATCGACGAGCGGGGTCGTTTCGCGATCGTAGACGTAGCGCTCTCGCGCTATGATGTATCTCTCGGAGCAGTTCTCGTAACAGCGTGGCCAATCGCATACCGGGCGCATATAAGGAAATCGGCATCGAAAAAAAGAATCAGCCGGCGCGTGTGTGCACGCTTCGCGCGTGATATACATCGATTTATTTGCAGCCCGGCATCTAAAATTGCGTTGCGCGATACGTGATATTTATTCCCCGTGCCGCCGTATCTGCACTCTTTGCCAACACACGCAACCCGGTACGGGATACATTTTTTCCCCTTCTGTATCGCGGGCAAAATTTTATAACGCGGTCATGTGATGGACCGACGTGGTTGTTGCACGTCACGGCTGATTTCACAAACGCGGTAGGGTTGCACCACGATTCGATATAACACCGGCAACGGCGACGATACGACCGTGCCTGACAAATGAAGCGCCGAGAATGAGATAGGGTCATTGTAGACCCTGAACCAGGCTCATAAAAGAGCTGACTGAGTCAATACACCTCGTCGAGAAATGTGCTTCCCGGCTGTCTATAATATAGCGATTACTCAACGCGTAATGTCGAAATGATATTGAATGATATCATATATCAAGTGACATCGCCAATTTGTTATTTCAGTGATGAATATCCGCGGTAATATTCGCACACGTAAAATATCGATCCCAAGTTTCGTCCGATTCCTGATATGGTCCATTTGTAGCGCACTTGTAATTTTTATGAGACAAGTGGTTATTCATGTCGCGACTATATTTTTAGAATATTTCAATATCTAATTCATCACGTGCCTATATGCATCTTGAATATTTTCCTTGATAAAGAGCTACTACAAATTTGTATGGGTATAAAAGAAGTATCTTTTCTTTTTTTGGACTTTTTAAAAATTTAACTTGACGTGATATCAATCCTAGACCTTTAAATGTTGTGCATGTACTATTAAATAATTAAAAAATAATAGCTACTAATTTAGAAAAAAAAGTGTCTCCAGAATAGATTCCAAGATCAAATTTGTCGACGATATCATTGAAATCTTAATTTAATCGGAAGATGCATGTGAGATATCGCTGAACGATGGTCGCGAAAACACATATTGAGACGTCACTCGGCGCGCGGCTCGGGTGACGTCGGATTACTCGTAAATTTGTTAAACGTTTACATAAGACGTCGCCGTCGAGAGATTTATGCGCGCCGCTCCGATATCGTCTGAGGATCGAAGAAGAGCTTAAACGGCGAGGACGGTATACCGGATTTTAGATCGGATTTATATCCCACTACTTGGCGCGCGCGCCGTCTCATCCACCACCATCTCTCTCCGAGAGATTTACCGGCGCAGGCCTATTTCTTCACATCCACCTTTCATTCGTGGCAACTACAACAACCCGGTAATTGGTTCGATACACTTCGGCCTGGGGATGAGATCAGCATTTGCCTCCGTGCGCGCGCCAGGCAGTTTACTTTTTTTATTTCGAAGGCCGTCTCTTCGGGATCGGCCGATGGGGAAAAGTAGGGGGATCCCTCTAGATCCTAGATAGAGATTCCCGGAGCTCGCGGGGAAATGCGTCGAGGGGAACCCAGGGCGCGCCGAAAGGGGTGCACCAGGATGAATTTTCCTAGAACGTCCGTAACGTGTGCAATCGCATTCTTACTTGCGCGCAAATTCGCTCGCCGCCACGTGCTTCGTGGATTCTTTTTCTTTTTTTATTACACGATGTGAAAATAAGTCCACGCCGACGGAGGCTGATATTACCCAATCATCCGACGATGATTCGCGATAGTTTCGAGTAACTCGCATCGCGCGGAAATGTCCTTTTTTTATCCTATCACCTTCTGACAAAAAAAAATTAATTATCCTTTCATACATTCGAGTGTATAATGTTTCTGAAAATTTATAGAGATCTTTTATTTAAACTGACATATACATCTTTGTCCATCGCGTTTTGCGTAGCAAAATGTCTAGCAATTCCGTCGTCGACAAAACAATTACTATGGAAATGTAAGGATGTCAAATTTTTTGACCTCAATTTCGCGACGAATTGGTAGTATTAGTTACGGATATGTTACCAATTTTCCCTTCTATATATATCTCCTCCTCCCTCCGATACATAAAGTAGTATCTATTGCGAAATCTTTATTCTGTACGCGCATAAGACAACGCTCAAGTAATCATAATTGCAAATTTAAGACATGTCAAACCTTTCACTAGCCTGTCTCTTTTTCCACGCCCAACTGATCTATATCAGTCAATTGATACATGATATATTCCGATATTAAAGTAATATATTTTTTTCATATTTTATGAAAATTCAATTACATACAATATACGTACAATGTCTATAATAATTAAAATCTTCTCCTAAACGTCAAAAATCAAATGTCGTCTAATAAACATCTGATATTCTTTCAAGTTTTTTAGCAGAATTGTAAATAAATATATTTTATATGTCTTTTCTTTATATATAATCGCTAAAAATTAATTTACTCTACAAAATCACCCAAAGCAAAAATCTTTCAAGGAATAGTATTTTGTTAGCTTTAATATTCGTTCCCGTGCCAAGGAGATGAGATTCGTTCAGATTTTTTTTTTTTTTCTTTAACCTCGGTACATCTCGGCGATTGATTTGTACGCGGTGCTCCCGGACGTAAGCGTTCTCTCGTGCCGTGGATGCCCCGATCGAGAAATCCGAAGTCACGTGCGTAGCTCCAATTAAAATTTTAAAGCCATTTCACGTCATCAACGGGCTATCTCTTCCCATAATGCATCATACGGAGTGAAGGGAAGATGCGCACCTCTCCACCTCCCACACCCTCCCACAGAGCGGTCGGTCATTCTAATACACACCAGTTAATACATGGATATATATGCAACACGAAAGATAAACTGTAACAAAGGGTCTGCGCGGTATATAAACTCCCCGGAGGATCATCTTCTCAGTTCGCTTCGCGTCTTCGGTTCTACAGCAATATGAATAGTCAGGTAGGCCATCAGATAGTATCGTATACGACATCGGGTCGCTTTAACCCTTATGGCTGCAAAAATGTAGCCGTCTGACAACGAGCATTGCAACTAATTCAATAATTTTAAATATTGCTAATATAATGAATTCTGAAATCTCTTGTGCTGTTCTTGTTCGCTAGCAATTTATTTGAATTTATTAAGATTTTATTCATTTTTTTCTGTATTATTTTCCATTACTATTATATTATTTTACTTTTATCATTTTTTCTTTTCAATCTTTGTATATATGTATATTACTTAAAATTTAAGAAAAATGAAAAGATAATGATTTCTTTGTTAAATTATTTCGGTATTCGGAAAAGGATCAAAAAGCGTGCAATCCAGACATTTTATTCTATTGAACAAGTTTTAATTTCCCGAATAGCATATTAACCGGAAAATTATTTGTTGATAAATTTTAATGCGTGATAAAATGATTTAATAATTGTAATTTTTCTACTTTTATAAGATACACGTAACGTAAACAAAAATACGATCGATCAGAAGCGCCTTGTATACGCAACCGATCATTTAAAAAGAGTACTTAGCGAGACTAATATAAATTATTACAAGTTATTATTCTTTTGTAAACAGATTATATCTTCACAAAGTGAATAAGCAAGCAATTATAATTATCTTGCACAGATAGCTTTAAAGTTTGCTTAATGGGAAAAGATGGAAGTAGTCGTAATGAGTAGTCGTAATGGAAGTAGTCGTAATAAATTGCAACAGTGATCGCTAATCTAAAGTCCTCCATAACGCTTGCGCTGTATAACGTGTATATGCAACAGAATTTGCAATTATCTTCTATTGTGCCAGCGATGAATACTTTAGTCGGTGACAACGCGTCGCAATCGTGAAAGGTGCGACGTTTGTGACAAATGTTGCAATTTATTCCGATCATATATACGCGGTTCTATCTCTTCTTGTATACCGCAACACAAACATTGCGGTAAAAGCCGATGTTAAAAAAATTTAATAATTGGGTGAAAAAATTATCACGTATATTGAGAGAGATGATCGCTTTGAGAATCAATCCAAACAACACGGTTAAACGACGTCTTAAGAGACGTCTGAAAAGAGTAAAACGCCTCTTTAGAAGTCTTTACGACTTCTTTCAGACACGCGTGCTGTTCGAGAAAGAGCCATTTCTTAACACGTTCGTGTAAACGGTAATAATATGTGATGAAATACTTGATTTTTCTATCGCGATAGAGAGATAGAGAGATATAATAACGTAATCGGAACCAGAGATTCCGTGTCGATAGCGTCTGAATCTTCTCTGCATACGTGATGACGAACATATAACTACACTTAACAGAGAGACGTCCGATTGTGCCCCACTTTCCCTCAGCAGCACACGATTATCACAGCGGACACCGTCATTTCTCGCGTGTCAGACATTTCTTTCGTGATAATCCATCGAGACGGCCCACACATTTTTCCCAAGAATAAAAAATTTCAAGATTAAAACCAAAAGTAAAGCGTGATGCGCGCCTTCCATTTTTTTTAATGATACAATTAATAATATTCATTTTTAATAATTTTATAATATTTAGCGAATAACTAGAAAATATGATATATACTTTACTTTTGCTAATTGTATAATCATTTGTTCGTCATAGAAAAGTATTCCGTTATTATCGATTTAATCAATCCGTTTTTATTATCAAATCAATCGATAAAATCAATCAATCCAAACTTATCAGAATTAATCCGATGTAACCGATGCTTCATTATAATTCATTATTTACCTTCATTATGCTGGATTGTAATTCGCCGCTCGTCACAAAGCCACAGAAACTCTCTCTCTCTGATTGCAGTTGATCGTCCTGGTGCTGTCCTGCATCGGCAGCGACGTTCTGGCTGGTCTCCTGCCGGGAGGTGGTGCAGGCGCCGGAGGATATCAATACAGTCGACCGGGTGGTGGCGGATTCGGCGGCGGTGGCGGCGGCGGAGGATACGCAGGTGATGCCGGTTTCGGCGGCGGTGACTTCGGCATCAGCAGGGCAAGACCCAGCCAGGCTTACGGCCCACCCGGGAGCGGCGGCGATGCTCTTGGCAGACCGAGTGCTTTCGGTGGACAGCCGTCATCATCCTACAGACAACCGCAGTTCGGCGACAGCGGCAGCGGCGGATACCAGGATCGTGGTGCTGGAGGATATCAGGATCGTGGTGCTGGAGGATATGGATACGGTGGACGCGACAGTGAAAGGGTAAAATTATTTAAATATTTTCGGAAAGTTTGAAAATTGAACTGTATATATATTTCACATGGGAGACATTAAAAGAAAATAATATCTCTCTCTTTTCTTTCTATCTTTTCCGAAAGAGATTGTTACTATCAGAAAATTATCACTGTCGTCTCATATCATTCATTCGTTTCAAGATTTGTTTATTCGCACGTGTTTAAAATTTAGACAGATAGAGAGAACAATGTACATGCCGGAAATAAAATATTTTTTTGTTATGTACGCAATGATAGCTAGTCTATTGTCACATGTTATTTTCATAGCCGCAGCCGTACAGCTTCCAATACGAAGTCGTCGATCCTCCGAGCGGCAATGATTATTCTCAACGCGAGAGTAGCGATGGAAACGTAGTTCAAGGAGAATACAGAGTTTTATTGCCTGACTCGAGAACACAAATCGTTCGATATACAGCTGACAATGTAAACGGATATAACGCGGAGGTTCAATACGAAGGACAGGCTCGCGCTGGTGGAGGATATCCAGGAGGCGGCTATGGCGGCGGTTATCAAGGAGGTCGGTATATTTTTAACACAAAACCGCTGTTAATATCGGACACAATATCCACGCGCGTAAAATTATATCGTATGAAATTAATAATTACTTTTAGAAATTTAAAATTGCATTAATGATGAAATCTTAAAAAGTATTTATTTTTCAAAAAAAATTTTTATCTAAGAGAAATGTCCAATTTTTCATCCTGTATATAAATGCTTTTTTTTTATATTTATCAAAAAGATTCTTATTATAACTTTTTGTCTATTGTACTTTTTAGCAGGTAGAAGCGGCGGCTTTGGCGGACCCGGGGGTGGCTTCGGCGGACCCGGGGTTGGTTTCGGCGGATCCGGAGGTGGTTTCATTGGCGGCGACAGTGGCAGCAATCAATATTTACCGCCGCGCAGTTCTTATCGCAAATAACCGTCCATAACACGGACTACCTTACCAAAATACGACATGTATGACGCGCGCATTTACGGAGACAACCGTCACGGACCTCCCTTCGGCTTTCTATTCTGAGTACGATAACCGCACCCCCAATACGACAAACACATACACACACATATATACCTCCTCCTCTCAGTCACCTGCGCATCCACAGATCACTTTCACCCGTATTTAACGATTACACGACGACTAATTAGGATAACTTCATACGCATGCATGAGTGTGTATGTATTTATATATATATTATACGATATATATACGTATATTTTTTTTTTTGTATACATGATATATAATTGTGTACTGTAAAACATACGCTTCTGTACTTTCCGTTAAGCAATTATCAAACTCTTATGTTATATACTTATTTATATACGAGCTTTGTAGTAAAACATGAATGAAGTACTGTACGCGGCGCGAACGCCTGGTGGCGGAGTGGGACGGGAGAGCCGATGATCAAGTCAATTACGCTATATAAATTTATTGTATTTAACAATTACTAAAATAAATTACAAATTAAGCACGAATATTATTTCGAAAACGAGCAACTTGGAGTACAGAAAAAAATCGAGTTGGTTTAAAAAGGGAGATTGCAACACACATGCAGCAATTTTAGATGCCCACGGAGAGAAGACGTTTTGTCTTCTCACCCGGCAGAGAGAGATTGGTCGTTGGAAACGATCTCTGATAGTATTCTGAAAGTACTCTTTCTAGCCCAACTTTGTGCGCGATTCTTT